ATAGAGAGAGAGAGAGAGAGAGAGAGAGAGAGGGAGAAAGAAACTGCGGTCTCACTTAATTCATCAACAGAAGCTGCGATGGTAATGACTGATCTGTTGTAGTCTTGATCAGAAAATATATTGAGCACTGATACTTCAGGACGTTTCTTCCCTGTAAAGGAAAAAAAAATAAAAAGGCAAGAATTATTTTTCTCTGCTGAAGCCTTAATACTTTACTTCTTCTGATGCAATTATATTTGTTCAACAGAGAAATTTCAGGGTTGTGACCTTTGAGGTGACACTGGCTAATCATGACATTCCTGGGTAGTAACGCCCACTCCTTACGGCGTCTTCCTATATAGCTGGACGGCTCAGCTCGGACACTAGGCTTTGGTGTCTCTCCACTCAAAGATGGCAGCCTCTTCTTTCAATTGCCACGCTGTGTCACTCCAAATCCGGTTCCTTCTCAGCCGCGTCTTTCAGGCCTTATCAATTTTTCCTTCCTAAACCCAGAAATCAACCTGTCTGGATGAAAATCTGCCATCTGGAAAAACTAGGATGGGCCAATTAGTGCCTGAAGCAGAGGTTTCTGGGATGCATGCACCTGTCTGTTGGAGACGCTCGGACTCCAACACCTCCTCAGAGGCCACCCACAGCCCTCAGATGTTAATGGCTTCCAGCCTCCCGTGGCCTGTGACTCGGTGACCGCGTAACCTGGAGGAGAAAGCTGCCCTGCCCTGCCCTGCCCTACCCGGCACGGCAGCCACACATAACCCCACATTATTTCTGAAGTTTACAAGCTTGGTCCAGGCCCCTTAAAAGTCCCCCTCAAGCCTGCAAAAGCAAATTCAAAGAGAAGGACAAAAGTTTTCAGGCGGTAATTAGATCGTTCGCCATGCCATTATACCTTTGTCCCCCGCCCCCCACCACCCCCAATCCCCTGGCAGCTTAACAATTAATCTTTTCAGAAGAGAGGAGAAATAAGTTGCATGCAGGCACGATAGAGCTTATAGCAGCCCTATGCCATTAACTTTAATAACTTTAAAAGATAAACTTACAGTATGTCACTTGCTCTTAGCCAAATGAGCATCTATACAGCCCTGCCCTGGTGTAGGTCTAAAGTTTATAACTCAAGTTTCTTTACCTTAGACCTTTTAGGCCATTTAAATGTTTTAACATTACTTAGTTAGGAAAATTATAGGTGTTACGGTTTATTCCACTTGCTGAAAAATAAATGCCTTTAAAGTATTTGTAAAACAATAGGTCATTTTCTTAGCTAGTGCTACTTCCTTGCATTTTCATAACTATAAAAGATGAAGCAAGAACCAGACCATACAATCTCCTTTTCAATGTGATTTTATTTTTCCATCCTAAATCTTCTTCTGAAAAGCTTTTATTCTCAGTTTCATCTGACTCAATTGAATCAAATGCTGAGAGAATGGAACACTTTCTCCTGCAATCTCTTCAGCATGCATATAGAAAAAAATGGACTGCTGGCAGGAGGAGCTGCCGGGCTGCCTCTCAGCAGAAGTAAATTGTTTGGTGTCTGTAATGGAGTATAATAGCTATAATTCCATTTGAGCTGCTGCCACTAATAAGCTGATAAAAACTGTGAGTGAGACAAGGCATCCATCAGTGTGTGGCTTCCCCAAATGTCTCGGCACATTCATTTAATCACAGAGACAGGTAACCCGATCCCATTAGATGTACTTGTCTGACAATGAGGGGCCCGAGTGGGCTATTCCCTTCCCACAAAGAGAATGCAAGAGCACAGCTGGCTGACTCCAGAGGTTTCTTTCTTATCAGCAATTATCAGGAATTTTCGTAGACATTTCCAGCTCCTGTGCAGTTGCAAGACAGTAATTTAAATGCGCTCATCGTTAGAAATGGGCTGAAGGAAACACTTGTTTCTCATGAAAAGCAGGAACGCAACGAAAAATGACAATCAGAAATTACAATACACTGTCTGAAATGCTTCAGGGCTAGGGTCCTAATGCCCGCCTGTTGCCAAAAAAACTTCATTTTTCAAAGTTTTCTATTTGAACAACTGTGTGTAAACTCACTGTGTTGTCTGTGTGTATGTATGTGTGTGCATGTATGTGTGTGTAAAAACAAATGATGCCTAGAACTATGTCATCACATGAACATTTCAACAAGAGTAAAAAATAAAAATAAAAATAAAAAAGGAGAGTAATATCTCTCATAGTAAACACTGGCCCAGGGAGCAAGAGGGCTTGGGCTCCAGTCTCCTGAATCGCTAAGTGATCTTACGCACATCACTTAAATGCAATTGCCTAAAAGCCTTTCTTTATAGGGAAAATATGTAATAGAAATAATAGTGCTGTAATGATAGCAAGGGCTTTGCTGGCAGGAGTGCTTTGAAAAGTGGTTGGTATTTGGCAAGTTTATTTTTTATGTAACCTGCTGAATAAAAAGCAAAATGCCCAATTATGCTCATTCTATTAATGACCAAATAAATGGCCTGTGAGGGGGACATTTAACCTTTATGTAACTATATCCTCCTCTCACTCTCCACTATCCCTAACTGCACGGCTGAGCGCAGGCAGGCGTCTGGAAAAGACCACATGTGCACATCTGCCTAACTGCTCTACCTCAGTATCCTGGAGGCCTGCTACAGCCCAGGAACGGGGCGGTGGTGGTGGTGGGGGAGCCCACAAAGAAAGAAGAGTGTTCTACAGATACTGTCTGCAGAGCACAAAAATTACCGTATTATCAAAACACTACATATCCACTTCAATTGTCTGTTGTTCCTACCATTTTCCCCAAGAAGAGCTGCTTTTGCGATGTTCTCAACAACGTGTTTCCTCCTGGCTTCTGAGATGTTTAGTAAACAGGCAGCCAAACGGAGCCCCAATCTGGAGGAAGACATGCTGGTTTTTCCTAGAATGGGAGAAAAAGGAGTCTTCATTTCCGCCTCTGCAGTTCATTCATATGTTCATGTTTATTAACCATTAAAAAAATCATAGCTCTTTGGAAACCAGTTAGTCATAATATTAACACGTCACTCTTTCACTCCTTAGGGAACACCTGAATAATAAAACCCTCAGGGAGACTCCTCAGGAGACGGTGTATGTGGCCACGCACAGATGAACACAGTAGCAACACTAGAATACTAGCATATCCTTCAAGTTATTCAGCCTGGATTCTGTCGTGCAAGTGAAACTTCCATTAAAGTATATTATTCCCTTTTAGGCACAGTCTTCCTCAGCTTTTCCCTGTTTTCCGGGTCTTCTCTGTGTAACCAGTAAGCATGATCCTGTTGTTAAATGAGACTTACCAAAAAAAGAGGAATGAAGGAGATTATTTGATATGCTGATTCCTACAAAAACGATTCCTCTAGCAAAAAGAAATAAGGGGGCTCACTTAGGGGCTTTACCTGACAGCTATCTGACTCTGTTCCTCTGGCACTTTGATCTCCAAAGTTTCTAAATCAGTTGCAAACCTTTTCACAGGACTCTGGACCTTGAACTGTGAAAGCTGACATGTACTCTGGTATGTCACTCAGCAATGCCGAGAGAGTGACTGATTCTTTCACTGAAAATGGATTAATTTCACACGTTTTAGAAGTTGCTTTGATGCTCTTTAGTACTCCAGAAAGGCATTTTTCAACCCATTATCTTTCCATACCTCAGATGATATGACGTGAGGAAATTTCAATAACTCAAAATAGTAAGAAACCCCCCCCCCCCTTTTTGAGACCAGGCCATCCTATTCTGGCCTTTTAACATATCATATCGAAAAATGAATGCAGCTCTCATGACCTCATTCAACAACTACTTGACAAAGGTCACTTGGCGTCAGGCAATGTTCTCCGTGTGGGGGATACTTCAGGAAATGGTGGTCTCCTCTGAGACAAACATTAAGCTTATGAGTTTAAGCTAAAAGTGCTGGGTGCCAATTAGTGCTCTCCACGCATAAATCCACTGGCGTCCCGGACACTAGGATTGGTGGCCTAATCATTCTAGTCTAAAGGGAGTGCAGAGCTCATGGATAGTTCAGGTTTTTATAGTGACCATCATCGCATCGCAAATTCATAAAAAAATACGGTCATTAGGTTCTTCTAGACTAGACATTAATAACATCGCTGTATTAGAGCAGCTCAGACCTCTGGTTCTCATGTAAACAAAAAATTGCTTTACACAAGGGGCGTGGGCGTCTTCTGGCTTTCATTTGTTTTCGGTGTGTTTATGTAGCTTAATTGTCTCATCAGGCACTTTCCCAACCTAATTATGCTTCTTAACAAATGGTGTTTATGGCAACCCCTAACAGTGCAAGGGAAAGGATTAGTTTCATCTTCTCATTCCACATTTGATTCCCTGTGGACAGCTAAATCACACAAAGATGGTGCTGGGAAAACCTACCTTCCCAGCACGCGCTGGAATGAGCGGCTGCACCAGGCTTTTGGAGAGCGGTCAGGCTTGTTAGTCAAGGGTAAGCATTGCTCCCTCCTCCTCTAACCGAGGGACCCAGAGCGAGCCCTCCCAACAGTCGGGGAGAGGGGAGCCCAGACCGCCCACCCTTTCAATCCCCCTGTGGTTCGGTGACGCCCGGCGACAGACCAGACCCTGGCTCGCCGGGAGGTGCTGGCAGGGCCGGTGCGGAGCGGAGCAGCTGGGGAGGGTCC